CCTCGCGACTTTTTTTCACTTTGATGTTCCTCCTCCTCTCTCTGTGACGCCTGAAGTCAACTAAATGGCTAATGATAACCATCAAAACGCCTGCCATTTGATATAAGTAAATTTGGCGAGCAGTGAGCAAGTTTAAAGAGGAATGAGGACAGCATATTTGCAATGAAGATGCGGGATGGACGACGGCCGTGACGCTTATACAAGTATAAGAATGTGATAAGCAAGCTAGAAGTAAGTTTGCAACCTCGGTTAACCAAACTGAAGCTGGGATTAGATCAATGGGAACTCAGCATGGTCATTGAATAGATCAGGTGTTAAACACCAATCACAGTTAAGCGTTATTGAACTAGGTGGACATAGAGACAAAAGGCCGCTTGTTCTGAGCACTTGTAGTCTTTATGCATCTTACAAGCTTCAAGCCATTAATATTTGCTGGCCTTAATCTATTTATGCGTCTAAATAAAAAGCCGCTTTCAGTAAATGGCTCAACTATGTCAAACTGGGATCAGAGACGGTTGGGGAACGCGTCATAGCAACCCTCATTGAGAGGCCATGGCAAAAACAGTTGGTTGATGATGGTTCATGATTGTCCTATACTAAGTCTCTATTTCATTACATTATATGAAAAAAACAATCAGTTAAAATCTACACATCTTTCGAATACTAGAAGGTAAACAGAAGTCATGCGATTTCTATCTAACTTCCGAAATAAAATAAAACAAGAGAAAGCAAAGAAGCGAGACATTCTAAGAACCCTTCTTTAAAATTTTGTCATTTCTCATATCTTTAAAAACACCTGTACTCAATGACAACATTGTGAACTTATTATAGAATATCGCTTACTTGACATTTATACATTCATTAGTCGGCTGAAAGGAAGTGTGGTATTCCATGAGATCAGAAATTGTGAGGAGTTTGCACTTGGAATAGGAAGACGGGGCAAATTCACGAACGCGGATAAATTCATCCGCCAAACGAATTGACAAGGGAGGAGAATTCGATTCCGGATCAACTAAATCAACTAAAGCTGACTTTGTTATCGAATCAGCTTCTTTGAGAGAATCGGCGTCAAGAGAATCATCGGAAAGGTTCTGAAAAGAAAAATGCAACATAGATTTAATGTTGCATTCAGTAGGAAGGCAGATGAAAAAGAGTAAAAACCGATTTTGGGGTGCATAAACAAAATCCCCATTTCAAAATCTAATGCTTACCGATGAAGATTCAACCTAAACTGCACATCAAAGTCTACTACTAATGCATACTTAAGAAGATACAAAAATCAGATAAACGTACCAACAAACGGTTCAGGAAAGAAAGACGTAGAAGGGCATTGGAAACGGAAGTAGAATCAAGATTAATGCTGGACGGGAAAGTATGGGACACGCTACATTCATGCTTCCAAGAAGAGAAAATACTGAGATGAAGAAAACACCCATTTAATATCCAGACACCATAAAATGTGAGCTCTGTTTCGGGAGAAAGAGTAGGCAAGAAGGGTGACAAAATAGCCCGCTTATTTGGATATTTACAATCGACAATTTCTATGACATGGAAGTCCCAAAAAGATTTGATTATTCGAATCTTAACTGAAGGGAGAAGGATATCGGGCCATTTCTCACATAAATGCTTGGGAATATTAGAAAAGTTTGAAATCAATTCCATATAACTTTCGTTGGCATTGTAGCAAAAGACCTTTGCTTCATTTGGCTAAAAATAATAATTAAGGTTGATAAAAAAACAAACCTTGCTACCAAATAGCGTGGCCCGTGATAGTTTGTGAAAACGGACGTATTGGTGCATCAATTCACTAATCTGACGTAAGAAATTTTCTCGATGCGAACGATGAGTATCATTTTCCGACTTCCAACTAATGATAATATTGTAAATTGGCATTCTGCAGAAGCAGTGTAAGGTAGCGGTCAATTTCAGCATAATCGCGTTTGACGAACCGACCATGAATTCAGGACTTCGAAATTGGATAAAACCTTCAATTTTCTCATCCATTTTCTTAGCCAGGATGTTAAACTATTAAAAATAGCATCATTAAATTAAAGCATATAACTGTTCCAAATTAAATTATTGTATTAAACTAAATATAATAACAAAATGTCGGACTATCAAAAAATAACTATAAAAATATTTCAAAAAATTAAATAATAATTTAAGACGTAATGCACTTACTGCAAAGTTGTAATTTACGTCGAAATCAAGTACGACAATAGACAGACGCTAAGGTTCGGCAGTTCAGGTCTCATAAAGAGCACATCATTCTTCGACCAACAAATCGGAAGCGTAAAACAAATCGAAATTCACTTTTAAAACAGCGAGTTTTTCTATCTAGGAAATAATAGAGCTTAAGCATTTTAATTATATTACGAAAAATCGATTGTTTCACAAGTTTGAAATGTTGAGTAAAGTGGGATTAAAGAATCCCTTCAAATTCATTTGTGATTACATTCAGGAAAAGGAAAGCTTCATTCCAGATTAACAATATTCTTTCATTATAGATACATTATAAGCACAATGAACTTAAATTGCATCTATAAATGAGCTTTGGATTCGCTTTAAATTATTTATTAGGAACCATCCCATAATTGCAATCTCGAGAGCCTTTTATACTGGCGTATATATTCATGAAGCTCCACTTGTTTTTACGTGATAATTTTATATTTATCAACAAAGCATTGTTTTTTCGTTTTGAAAACGAAGCTTTAAATTTGATTAAAAGCTGACATATTAACAAACTATAGTGCTGTTCAAATATTGAAGCCCCGGCTCCCTTTTTTGTCATTAGGGTCAAAATATTTGTCTATTAGCTTTAACAGTTCTCCTAAATCTACCTAGGTGTTAACCAATCCCAATCGCGTTTTTTCCATTTTATGAATTCTATCTTCTCTACCGCAGTTCAACACTGCCTCACTAAAAAAATTCGACTTGGGGAAAAATTTTTTCGTTATCAATTCTTAATCTTTCCATTTTACGTGATGAAAAATATAATCTCCTGAGAATTCTGGATATTTTTGTCTAATGGAACTATCCAAAGTGAATACCCTGGTTCTGGCAGCCCTTTCAGACCCGTTGAAAGAATGCAAACGACTTGTATGCCAGTCAAACATAAAATCGCATTTTATATATGCGTTTATTTGTAAATAAAGTTGACAAACTGCTTGATAACTTTTATTATTAACAGCCAATTATACAGTCCAGAAAATGCTTCAATAACATAAAAAACACACGTGAAGGATAATCAATAAGTGTTGAGTCAACTGAACTCACTTTTACTATCTTTAAGTTATACTAAGTCATCAAAAGCATTCGATGGCACTTAGCATTGTGATGAATCTTGTAAATTTGAAGTTTTAACTCACTTCTTAGCTTCGATTTGAACTATCCTACTAATTAATTAAAAATATCTCTTTGAAATTTGTCTGGATTGAATCATTTTGTCACGACATAGACGAGGTAAATAATTACACTAATTTGTGATTCTTCATTCCCAAATCATGTGTTTCTAAATAACATTCCAAAAGTATTTTTGCATTTCCTGCTGTAACGAAGACATTATACCTTGCTTCATCTTGCTATAATTTAATAATTGAACAATTTGCTTGCATATTTATGTAAGCATCCTTACATATGACATATTGTTTTTAAACACTTAAGTACTACAAAAGTTTAGTGTAATCACATGTATTCGATGAGTGCTTATCCGTGATAGAAGAATAATATGCATTTGACCGGAAATTTTAGTCATTGTTCCACTATTTGCCCTTAGCAATTGTCATTAACACGACAACAGCCATACCGCTTAAGTTATACTCACTGCCACAAGCATGAATATGTTCGAACTCGTAGCTCCTTAAATCAATGGACCATCCACGCAGATCCAATGGGGCGTGTGAAAAATCGCTCCGATTTGGTTCTGTCCAGCAAGGGGGGGGGGAATGAAAGAATCTGGGCGTTCGATTAGAATACCTTCCTACCCGACGTGAAGTATTAAATGACTCGAAATAACGTTCATGCACTAACCTGAAGCATTTCGGTCGAGGGAGTAATAAAAGATACTTTCTACACAGATTTCCTTGAATTATTCGTGGTTGACTAATTTTGTGATCAGGGCATCTTGACAATCTTCGAAACCCCTATCAATCAGAGAGATCTAGTCAACTTACGAACAGTGGCACACCGATCAAAACTTCTAGCCTGACATAAATGATCGTCAGACGACCCGCCTACCTTTTCAATCTTCAAATCATTGCACTCATCTCCACCAAATCAAATAGACCTCTTTACCGATTTTCTACTTTCTTATTTTTATTCCACTTTCTGCTACACAGCAACACGGCTATACTTAATCATTCAGCTTTGCCTACAGTCTGTTTTTTAGTCCAATTCACTACTGATAAGTACGATCCTAATTGAACCTTTAGTAAGTCCGAAACCTTTTCTTGCTCAATAATTGAGTAACTCCTTAGGCCCAAAAATATTATTAACCTAAATGCTTTTTGCCTATGTTCTTACCAAGATTGTCACCATTGAAAAGACTGTCTGGCTTATACATTATAGACGTGCTCAATTGGTCTTTGACCGCATACTTTTGGATTATGGGGTGTGCGATAGACTTACCTCCATGTGGTGCACCCTGGGCAAGGTATACTCATGCGGTAAAAAAGTCTATAAATCGGCAGGTGACTTCTGACTTCAAACTACCATGATCCCACAGTAATGTATTTTCGACCACTTCACAGTACTCACCTCACTTTTTTCCACCTTCGTCTTTGAAACACTCTTCTGCCCCCCCC